AGTTTATTTAAATTTAAAAATGAAAATTCAATTTTTAAAACATTTTTCAATTGTTAAAATTCTCCATAATTCAATTATTTCTAAAAATGTTATTTTAAATTCTTCGCTAAATTAATTTTTCATTACTTTTAATACAGTTTTTCAACAATTTAGGGAAATTAAAAATTTTTTTAATTAAAAATACTCTAAAATACAATTATTCTTGAAAGTTTGTAAAAATAATTTTAACAATTAAAATTTATAAAAGTTTCAATTTAAAATCTTTTGAAATTTAATTACTTCCAAAAAACTTTTTCAAATTCAATTAGTAATTGAATACTTAATTGAATGTTAATTCAATTGAAAATTTTCTTCCTAAATTTTTATCTATATATAATTCTTTGTTTAATCAAGATTCGCGATAGAGAATCGACGCCAAGTAAAAAAAAATCCGCAAATATATTTTCTCAAAATATTGGCATTTTTTGACCAAAATTTGATATCATAAAAAATTCTTTACCGAATTCGTTCAAATCTTTTTTGCGGGGAAATAATGTAAAAAAAAATTATTTATGTGGTGAAATTGATTTTTTTTTTGCAATCAATTGCAATGTAGAATAAAAGAATAGTTTTGGTCTAAATATGAAATACAGTTAATAATTATCAAAATAATTAATTGAAATCAATTTTTTGATTAAGAAAAATTTCTATCGTAGCCGCAGTTATGAAAACTTGGCGTGAATTATTATTTTTAAGTATTTAATAATATTATTTATTATTTAATATATATTTATATTCTTCATTAATTTTTCGTTAATCTACTTGCAGTAGTATCTGTGAAAAAATAATTCACGCACCAAGTTTTCATAACTGCGCCTACGATAGAAATTTTTCTATCAAAGAATCAAAGTTATCAAGTTATTATAATTATATTTTGAAACATAATAAATTGATGTGCTGTCAAAACCCAGACAGCACGTAAACTTGCAGCAAGCTTGCCGCGCAATATTGCCAACTTTGGACAGCATGCTTGCCGCAAGCTTCAAATGTCCCACTTAACCCAAGCTTGTATGGTAAGCTCGCCGAAAGATTGCAGTGTAAGGTTACTGCAAGATTGCACAATAAGATTATCGCAAGATTCCATGATAAGCTTACCGTATGATTGCAGTGTAAGGTTACTGCAAGATTGTCTAATAAGATTACCTCAAGCTTGCATAGTAAGCTTGCACGGTAAGCTTGTGGCAAGGTTGGTGCAAGGTTTGCCAATAACCTTGCCCAATCAGTACAGAAGTTTCCATTGAAAATGAGCACTATGCGCACTTGCACTCACAAGCACTTACGGCTGCGCAAGAAAATTTTTCGACCTCCCAGAAACTGGTGCTGAATGTATATATGTATACAAAAATAAATTTCTTCCCCTCAATAAATTTTATTGTTATATTCCGCAAGCTTGCTATAAGGTTACCGAGCAAGCTTGCTGCAACCTTCTGTGCTGATTGGCAAGGTTATTTGTCAACCTTGCACCAACCTTGCGACAAGCTTACCGTGCAAGCTTACTGAGCAATCTTGCAATAATATTATTGTGCAATATTGCAGTAATCTTACACTGCAATCTTTCGGTAAGCTTACTATGCAAGATTGGTTAAGGTGGGACATTTGAAGCTTGCGGAAAGCTTACTTGCTATCTGGGAAAACTATTATAATTTAAATAAACGAAAATACGTGTGTATAAAATTTTTAAATGACCCTAAAACGAGTGATACTTCATGAAAATGTAAAATTATTTGTCAATTACAGTCGATAGTAATCGATCGAAATTTTTCAGCAAGAAATCGTTAAGTACGAAGTTGTCGATTCTTATTTTTTTTTTATAGAAACTGTCATTAATTATTAAAATCTTCCCAAATAGCACGGAAACTTGCCAAGCTTGCCGCGAAAGCTTGCTGCAAGCTTGTCTGAGCTAGCGAACTGTCCCACCCAGGGCAAGCTTGCCGTGAAAGCTTGCTGTAAGCTTTCCAGGAAAGGTTGCTGCAATCTTGCCATGAAAGATTGCTGCAGGCATACTAAGAATGATTGCGGCAAGCTTGCCGTGAAAGATTGATGTAAGCTTGCTACGTAAGGTTGAAGGAGAATTTCAACAAGCTTCTGGAAAGGTTGCTGCAAACTTGCTGCAATTTTTAAAAAATACATTTAAAATTTTAAAAAAATATATTTGTTTTTTAAATTTGAAAATCCTTGTGACGTTTATTATTATTAATTATGTCCTGTTTATTTTTATTTGGAAACTTAACAAGAAAATTTTCGAAACAAATTTGAGGGGACTGGGAATTGAACCCGGGTTCAATTCCCAGTCCCCTCAAATTCCGAAAATATTTTAAAAATTGTTTGCCCATTATCGGACTAGGCTTAAAAGTTTCGTAAAAAGAAGTAATTTTTTTGAAAAAATTTTGAAAAAAATCGATCAGTACGTCAAATGAGAAAAATAATCATTAAAACAAAAAATTTTAAAAGTAATATTATTTAAACAAAATTTTCGATTTTTTTTTTTTGAAAAGTACGTTTAAAAACGCACATTTGAAAAAAAATACTTTTAAAATTGATGCATTTTTAAGGAAGTTATGAGCATTCAAAAATTAAAAGTCATGAAAATTCTCCAATTTTCGAAATTCCTTAAACTCGAAAACGGCTTGCTAAAAAAATTTGAAAAAATTCATGGAAGCTAGTCTCAATTAGTACTAAAAGAAAAAAAATTCTCAAAAAAATCGGAGATGCAATTGCAGATGGACTTTCACTTTGGCGTGGAATACATTATATATTTTTTTATTATCCGAAAACATTACCCATGAAATGTTTGAATCACTTTTAATTTCTACGAAATCCCCACTCTGGTTTTATTGTTAAGTGAGAAATAAGTGATGATCCATAAAAATTAATTTTTCCATTTCTTTAGAACAGTAAACTTGTTTTTACAGTTTTGAAATTTTTGATAAAATCTATTATTTATGACGATTGTCGTCTTTTATTTCACATCAAAATTTTTCATTGAAAAAAATAATCTAAATATATATACATATATATGAGGCAAAATTCCTAAAATGTCCGAACAAAAAATTAAAATTTCTCGAATTTAATCCATACTTTTCTAAAATGTTGTTATTGTTGGTGAAAGTCTAAAAATCAATTATTATTGAATTTAATAAAATAGTTTTTGAATTACATCGTTTTTAATTTTTGACTTTTGAAAAAAAAAATTTTTTTCAATGTAATATATTTATAAGTAGAATGCATAAAAGTTAACATATATATAATGATTTTTAAAGCTTTTTTGTCGAGCTACACGCTGTTAATAAAAATTTTTTTTTTTAAATAACATTTGACCTTGAAATTCAAGGTCAAAATGTTAATTTACGTTTATCTCAAAATCGGATTTTTTAAAATTATTTTTAACTATCTCAATGGAAAGCTTGACTAATTTCCTACAAAACATGTAATTTTCAGAGTGGGATATTTAAAGTTTTTGAGATATTAATTAATTAATTAATTAATGTTTATAACAAATGAAATATTTTACAAACGAATAAAGTTACCGTAATTCTGAAGTTAGTAATTGAAAGTTAACGTAATTCCGCATCCAACGAGCCCTATATGAAGTATTTTGGATAAGTAGATTGTTAATAAACAATTATTTAACATTGCAATTGTTTATTAACAATCTACTTATCCAAAATACTTCATATAGGGCTCGTTGGTTGCGGAATTACGTTAACTTTCAATTACTAACTTCAGAATTACGGTAACTTTATTCGTTTGTAAAATATTTCATTTGTTATAAACATTAATTAATTAATTAATTAATATCTCAAAAACTTTAAATATCCCACTCTGAAAATTACATGTTTTGTAGGAAATTAGTCAAGCTTTCCATTGAGATAGTTAAAAATAATTTTAAAAAATCCGATTTTGAGATAAACGTAAATTAACATTTTGACCTTGAATTTCAAGGTCAAATGTTATTTAAAAAAAAAAAATTTTATTAACAGCGTGTAGCTCGGCAAAAAAGCTTTAAAAATCATTATATATATGTTAACTTTTATGCATTCTACTTATAAATATTGTACATTGAAAAAAATTTTTTTTTTCAAAAGTCAAAAATTAAAAATATTGTAATTCAAAAACTATTTTATTAAATTCAATAATAATTGATTTTTAGACTTTCACCAACAATAACAACATTTTAGAAAAGTATAGCTTAAATTCGAGAACTTTTAATTTTTTGTTCGGACATTTCAGGAATTTTTCCTCATATATGGGACATTCCACGTCAACACGGACAGAGCTCTAAACAAAAATGGTTTTGATGGATTTAAACGTTCTAGGGCTTAAAAGATTTCTACATTCATGTACTTTAAGATGCCGATGGGCGTTTTTTAAAAAATTTCATTTTTGATGACAATAGAGCTGTCAAAAGTCAAAAAGTCTAGAAATTTTTAAATACTTTTACGAATTAAAAGCTAAAAACGAGGTATAAAATTCTGAAACTCATTCTTTAACAGTTTTCAGGGTCACTGATCATTAATCTAAATTTTGTTTTTTAATTCAAAATGGCGGATCCAATATGGCGGACAAAAGATCAAAAAAGCAGAAAAAATGTTTTTTTTTGCGGAAAACATATTATTCGATAGTTTTTAAGGTCGCTGATAAAGAATCTGAAGTTATTTTTTAAAATTTCAAAATATCGGATCCAAAATGGCGGACAAAATTTTTTAAAAAAGTTTAAAAATAAATTAATATAATTAGATATTAAAAATATACATATAGAATTGTTTTTTGTAGAGAAATAGGGACCTAAATTAAGTAAATGTAAAATACTTTTGTATCAACAAATTATTATGAATAATAAACAAATTTTTGAAAGTCAAAATACTTAATTAGAAATTCAATTACAAATCTACATAATATAATATGAAGAAATCTTTATGACGTGAGTTAGTGTTAGTCAATATATGAAATCATCCACAGAAATTTATACTTCAGCTTTGTTGAATCGGTTTATTTCTTTCACTGTATGAAACACACATTTAGGCATATATTTACTTATTAGATTTTAATGTATATTTAAGCTATCGCCTGATATATATATATTAGGCCATTTCTAAGAAATTCCTACTCTAATTGTATAGTGTTAACTAGAAAATAAGTGATTTTTGGCGTATATATATATATAATGAGAAAATTTGAATAATATTCACTATAGTCTTTTTACTCTCAGTATAAGGAACATCTAACAAAATGTTTGAACGTAAAACATTTAAAGTTTCAACTTCTCTTTTTCTGCTATTTTTATGTGAAGGCCTATTTTCGACTTCAGCATCAATATTTGTAAGAGAAAATCCTGACCGTACTGCTCCTGAATATAATGTTGACTATTTGGTAAGTTATTTTTTTCCTTTTCTTTATAACAGTTATGTTTAAAATAATTTTTTAAAAAATTTTAACGCCAAAAATTTTAATTTTTCATTCCGGGCTCTATTATAAATACCAATAAGAATTAATTTAATTTTTTTTTGGGTCATATGCGTTAATGAGTTAATCCCAAATGATTTTAAATTCCTATCCATATAGTTGTTCGCTTTTTCCATAGATATAATGAACACAATATTATAATTTTAAAATAACCATAAATAACATGAATAAAATTACAGGCAATAACTTTTGATACACCTTTAGATGTATTGAATGTGAATGGTCTTGAAATTAAGGAAAAAACAAAAATTGGTCTAGAAAAATATTCACAGAATCTACAAAAATCTTATGAACCAGTTATTAAAAGGATTATTAGTGGCACTTATCATTATTTCTTTGGATACATAATAAACGTGGAATTTGGAGAAAGCAATTGTACTAAAGGACAGAAAACTAATTGCGTTTTAAAACAGAATGGGGAGTCCGAAATGTGTACTGTTACAACTTTTAGGGATTTAAAAGTAATATGTCCTATACAAAAAGACTGCAGTGCTGCTGAAGTTAAAGTGGATAAAAATGAGGTAAGTTTTCATCTATATGTAATACAATTTACATATTATATCTGAACACATATTTAGAACATCCATAAATCGAACAAGACTAATTTTAAACGAGGGCATTGTTATATTTTAATTTTCGCCATCAGACTGCATAACTTTGAGATACATGATTATGTATTAAAAATCATTAGTTACAATTTTCATTTTATGAAATTTCATTTGTCCTAATTATTTATACCTAATTAGTATACCTAATTAGTATACAGATCGGGAAAAACCTCAGCTTTCGTTTGCAATTGTTTATTTAAAAAAAACGCACCGATTTTAGTGAAAATAGCAAATTTATGTTTAATTATAAAAAATCAAGGTCAAAATTCAAAAATTTTAGAAACGAAATTCACCATTGAAAAGAGCATGAAAAATCCTTCAAAAAAACATACCTGTTAAAATTGTTTTTATTGCATTTATTGACAGAAAAATTCAAATAGTAGGCGGTGTCAGGGAAAATTGATAAAATTGACCCCCCTCTATCTCCCACAAAATTTCAAAAAAGTCAAAAATTTTTTTTTGGGATATTTTACTATCAGGTAAGACAACAATTTCCCCAAGTTTCACTTTTTTTTCGAGAAATCAATTTTTTAACTCAGGACATTACACGTAAAATGCCTCAATTACAGAATTTTTATATAACCAAAAATTCACATCACAGAATTTTTATTTTTTCGAAATTTTAATTGTCAGAATTTTTATTTAACATAATAGGCATTTTAAATAATTTTTATTTGATTGAATTTCATTCAATAGAATTTTCTTTTAGATGAATTTTCATTTGTTCGAATTATAATTAGATATAATTTCCATATAACCTATTTGTTCAAACTACAGAATTTTTACTTAACCGAAAAATCATTTAACAGAATTTCTAATTGATAGAATTTTCATTTGTCCGAAATTTCAAATGGCCGAACAAACAATCGATTTTGGCGCGATTTTTCAAATCAACCAATAAAAAATTATCCATAAAATTGTGATTCGTTGATTTTAAAAATCGCGTCGAAATCTTTCTGTCGATTGTTTGTTTGGCCATTTGCAATTTCGGACAAATGAAAATTCTATCAATTAGAAATTCTGTTAAATGATTTTTCGGTTAAGTAAAAATTCTGTAGTGTGAAAAATCGGTTATATGGAAATTATATCAAATAATACAAAAAAAAAAAATTGTCTGTTTCTTGAATTAGACATATATTTCCTATAGTATTTTCGCCCGCTGAAACCGAATCTGAGCTCAGAATTGCTCCATCACCCTCAGTTTTTTTTAAATCGACCAAAACCACCCTTAAACGGACAAATTCACACTTCGGAGATAAAAAATAAATCAACTTATTTTTTAAAAAAAACGAATTTTACATCTACGAAACTTTGCTCCACTAACTCAAAAACAAAGCCAGTATTGATCCAGTACCCCCTGAATTTTTTTAATCGAAAAAACTACCCCTAATCTGAGGAATCAAATTCTGGAGATAAAACAATAAAATAACTGATTAACAAATTTTATAACCAGATATTTTTACTCCAGCAATGCAGAAACATTGCCAGAAATGCTCCCTCACCCTCTAAATTTTTTTTAAATCGAAAAAACCACCCTTAAATAGAAAAATTCAAATTTAAGAAGTAAAAAAATATTAAATTACCGGCTTTTTTTAAAAACAGAACCTTACATGTATGTAGTTTTGCTCTACTAACTCAAAAAAATAAAGCCAGCATTGATCCATCACCCTCTGAATTTTTTTAAATAAAAAAAACTACCCTTAATCTGAAGAATCAAACTTAGGAGGTAAAACAATAAAATAACTGATTAAAAAAGTTTATAACCACACTGTAAAAAGTCTTAATGGAATTTTACCACTTTGAAAGTGGGAAAGATTATTACCCACTATCAGAACGGCACCTTTACTGTCGATGGGAATAAAATTTTTAGGTTATGTACTTTTCCGAAATTTTATAAAATATTAAATTTTTATGTTTAGAAAAAAATATAGGAATAATTTATACTTTTTATGCGATTAGGATGAAGGTATTTACTTTTAAGTTATTAATATTCGCTAAAGAATTTTATAAAATAAAGAAAAAATAATTATAAACACAATTAGACTCTATATTTTATTCCTATATTTTTGCACAAGAAACATTAATATTTTTGTTTTTCATATTCAAGTTTAATTTAAATTATGAACAAAAACTTTTATGAATTGTCCTATGTAAGGATAAAATAACTTGTGTCGTAAAATTTTACCATTTTTACGTCATCTTTACAATCAAAAAGACAATTGTCGATGAATGCCGACTGCTGTCGGGCATTAACGATTGCACACGATGCATAAATCGTAAATGTATGCGTATATTATGAATTTCAAAATTTGGGAATTTTCCAAAAATTGTCAATATTACTTTAAAAAATGGTAATTTTACACGCTAATGTATTTTTCTAAAGAAACGGGAATATTACCAACACTTGTGATTATACTACATTAAAAACAGGAAAAATACTACAGTGTGGAATTGTCATTTTTGCTTTAGTAAGGTTACGTTCGCCAATGGTAATTTTCCCATCTAGTGCAGTTTCACAGCCTTCAGTCATTTCGTCCTTTTGAAAGTGGGTAACATTATTACCCACTTTAAAAGGAGAAATTTCGCCGAGGAATGAAAAATCCCAATATTCGAAATAGTAAAATTACCAAATATTGTATTTTCCATTTTGGACCCTGTATTATTTCTGCATTTAATATAGTATTTGTGCCAGGGATTCTTAAAAGTAAAATTCCTATCTTTAGGAAAATTCTGTTTGAACTTTTTACAGTGCAGGTATTTTTACTCCAGCAATGCGGAAACATACCTGGCTGTAAAATTTTTCAATCAGTTATTATATTGTATTACCTCCTGAATTTGATTCTTCAGATTAGGGGTAGTTTTTTCGATTAAAAAAATTCAGAGGTTGATGAATCAATGCTGGGTTTGTTTTTGAGTTACCCTGGCGGATTCGATTTGCGTAATGTCTACTTAACTAAGCGGACTTTAGGTAGACATTAGGTAGACATGTAAAAAAACGTATAAAAAAGCTATTAATCGACTTATTATGATAAAAAAAGTTGATAAAAGGGTAAATGAATGTTTATAGAGTAAATTCGTACAAAATTTGTAATTAATAAAGCAATAAATAATTAATAATGAATGGAAATGTGCGCGAGGTACCTGATCAGTTCAGCTGTACAATTATTTTCGTGCTATTTTCATGAAAAGAATATAAATTAACTGCAAAAACAATTGATATTTATAAAAAAGTGTAAAATTGATTTAATTTTATTGTTTGCAATACGAATTATTAAATAATAATTAAGTTTTTATCAAATGTGAATAGTGTTGTGAAAACCTGTGAAAACTAATGAGTTACTACATTACCGATCGCATATGATAATAAAAAGTTCTCGATGAGTGTAACAAAAAAGCTGCAATCATGTCCGTAATTTTGGACGAGAAACAATTATGAAATCAATAATTATTTGTATAACTTTATTCTGCATTTTAAAATTCACTTTTTATTTTCTTTCAAAGCAAAAGCTTGGAAGAAAACATGCTCGCACTGTATTGTAAAAACTGGTGGCGCCATCTCTCATATGCGATCGGTAATGTAGTAACTCATTAGTTTTCACTGGTTTTCACAACACTATTCACATTTGATAAAAACTTAATTATTATTTAATAATTCGTATTGCAAACAATAAAATTAAATCAATTTTACACTTTTTTATAAATATCAATTGTTTTTGCAGTTAATTTATATTCTTTTCATGAAAATAGCACGAAAATAATTGTACAGCTGAACTGATCAGGTACCTCGCGCACATTTCAATTCATTATTAATTATTTATTGCTTTATTAATTACAAATTTTGTACGAATTTACTCTATAAACATTCATTTACCCTTTTATCAACTTTTTGCTTCCTCGTGGAGGAAGCTATGTAGTCCTTTCGTTTATAAAATTTTTAAAAATGGTGAAAACAAATTTTCCTCTATATAGAAACATGTTATACGAGATCCTGATCAATTGTCCGGATGTATGTATGTCTGTATGTATGTGTGTGTGTGTGTGTGTATGTGTGTGTGGATAGTTTTTGTGAACACGATATCTTTAACAGGTTTTAATGGATTTGGGTAAAATTTGGTAGGCTTATTTAACACATTAATCTCTCAAAAATGACGAGAGGATTTTTAAAAATACCCCAAAAAAAAAATTTTATCGTCTTTTTTCCAAAAATTTTTTTTTAATTGAAAAAATTTTTAAATCGAAAAATTTAAGGTAATATATAATATAATCGTCTTCTTTATGTCAAGATGAATCGATTGATATATATAAAATATAGATTTGATTGAAATTTAAAGAATTAATGAAAGTTAAAAAATCAAAAATTCTCATTTTAGCTAAAAAATGATGTGTTTATTTAAATTCATGTTTATATATGAAATAATTTTATTCCCTGCATTGAAACGAATTGGTTGGTATATATAAAGTATAGATTTGATTGAAAATTTGAGAATTAATAAAAATTGAAAAATCGAAAATTCATATTTTAGCTAAAAAATTTTGTGTTTTTTTAAAATTCAAGTTGATGAATAAAATAATTGTATTCCTTGCATTAAAACGAATCGATTCGTATATATAAAGTTTATGTTACACTCAAAATTAATTAAAATTTTCTTTATTTTTCAAAAAATTTAATTAATTTAAAACATTTTTAACTCGAAATTTTTTAAATCAATCAATTGAATTGGACAAATTCATTGCTTCCTTCACGAGGAAGCGAATTTTTTGCTTCACATAATGAGGAAGCATAATGTTTATGAAATAAACATAAAGGACCCCCTTCTTGTTTTTATCATAATAAGTCGATTAATAGCTTTTTTATACGTTTTTGCTTCCTCGTGGAGGAAGCTATGTAGTCCTTTCGTTTATAAACTTTTTAAAAATGGTGAAAACAAATTTTCCTCTATATAGAAACATGTTATATGAGATCCTGATCAATTGTCCGGATGTATGTATGTGTGTGTTTATGTGTGTGTGGATCGTTTTTGTGAACACGATATCTTTAACAGGTTTTAATGGATTTGGATAAAATTTGGTAGGCTTATTTAACACATTAATCTCTCAAAAATGACGAGAGGATTTTTAAAAATACCCCAAAAAAAAAATTTTATCGTCTTTTTTCCAAAAATTTTTTTTTAATTGAAAAAATTTTTAAATCGAAAAATATAAGGTAATATATAATATAATCGTCTTCTTTATGTCAAGATGAATCGATTGATATATATTAAGTATAGATTTGATTGAAATTTAAAGAATTAAAGAAAGTTAAAAAATCAAAAATTCTCATTTTAGCTAAAAAATGATGTGTTTATTTAAATTCATGTTTATATATGAAATAATTTTATTCCCTGCATTGAAACGAATTGGTTGGTATATATAAAGTATAGATTTGATTTAAAATTTGAGAATTAATAAAAATTGAAAAATCGAAAATTCATATTTTAGCTAAAAAATTTTGTGTTTTTTTTAAATTCAAGTTGATGAATAAAATAATTGTATTCCTTGCATTAAAACGAATCGATTCGTATATATAAAGTTTATGTTACACTCAAAATTAATTAAAATTTTCTTTATTTTTCAAAAAATTTAATTAATTTAAAACATTTTTAACTCGAAATTTTTTAAATCAATCAATTGAATTGGACAAATTCATTGCTTCCTTCACGAGGAAGCGAATTTTTTGCTTCACACAATGAGGAAGCATAATGTTTATGAAATAAACATAAAGGACCCCCTCCTTGTTTTACATGTCTACCTAATGTCTACCTAAAGTCCGCTTACTTAAGTAGACATTACGCAAATCGAATCCGCCAGGGTAGTGGAGCGGAAATACAAAGATTTAAGTAAGGTTCTGTTTTAAAAAAGTCAGTTATTTAATTTTTAATCTCCTAAATTTGAATTTTTCTATTTAAGGGTGGCTTTTCGATTTAAAAAAAATTTAGAGGGTGAGGGAGCATTTCTGGCATTGTTTCTGCATTGCTGGAGTAAAAATAACTGGTTATAAAATTTGTCAATCAGTTATTTTATTGTTTTACCTCCAGAATTTGATTCTTCAGATTAGGGGTAGTTTTTTCGATTAAAAAAATTCAGGGGGTGCTGGATCAATGCTGGCTTTGTTTTTGAGTTAGTGGAGCAAAGTTTAAGGGTGGTTTTGGTCGATTTAAAAAAAAACTGAGGGTGATGGAGCAATTCTGAGCTCAGATTCGGTTTCAGCGGGCCAAAATACTATAGGAAATATATGTCTAGTTCAAGAAACAGACAACTTTTTTTTTGTGTGCCTGTGTAATTCGAACAAATGAAAATTCATCTGAAAGAAAATTCTATGCAATAAAATTCTACCCAATAAAAATTCTTTAAAATTCCTTTTTCCGTTAAGGGTATGTGGGAACCTCCCACGTGACCTAGTATGGGAAAATGTGTTTTGGTAGTATACATTTCACTCTAAAATGAAAAAGATTTTTGTTTACAATTTTGAGGGTTGATAGATTAGGGATACAGCATTCATACTTTCTCTTTTTTAAAAATTCTCTTTTTCAATTGTAAATAGAAAAATTAATTAATTAATAAGTTATATAGTTTCTATGTTGTCATTTTTTTTAACAATTGAATTTTTGAAGATTGTTTAATGAGATAAATTAAACTTGTATAATCGATGCAAATTGTTGTATTTTAATTAAATTCAATTAAATTAATTTAATCATAATTTTAATAAAGAAAACTTTTTTTATCTTTCTTTATTTTATTATTATTTATTTTTAATATAAATGTAATCAAAAGAAAAGATTTATTTAAAAGTATTTTAAAAACAACAATTTGCATCGATTATACAAGTTTAATTTATCTCATTAAACAATCTTCAAAAATTCAATTGTAAAAAAAAATGACAACATAGAAACTATATAACTTATTAATTAATTAATTTTTCTATTTACAATTGAAAAAGAGAATTTTTAAAAAGGAGAAAGTATGAATGCTGCCACCTACCGTGCAAAGTCGGCGGCTCAACTTCTTTATCGACTAATAATTTGGATGTCACTAGAAAATTCCCTAGCCTGTCAAACTCACTTACGCGAAAATTTTACACTTTAAACTTTATTTATTTAATAATAACACGTTAATTTATCACAAATACAGCACAAATCTATCACTAAATACTTTTATTATTCAATTCAATTACACTTTTCCACAGTTTCCACTCAGTTTCTACACAATTTTCACTCCAACTAAATGTTTAACCAATGTGTAACGAATGTACAACGAATTCAGCGTACATTCCGATTTCGAGACCCGCCTGGGTTGATTCTATTCTTTGTCCATTGAATTTAATTTTCAATTTATGTTTCATAATTTATTACAATTATTTTATTAAATATTTAATAATATTGTTAACAAAATGCAAATAAAGGCATGTACCTAATTATAGAAAAAGTTTCAAACAAAAATAATAATCTATTATATTTGTAAAATTTGTCTGAAAATAATAATAATTGTTGAATAAATTTTTTTAAACTAAATAATAATTTAAGGTGATTTTTATAAAATGAACATTAATTTAGATGCTCTGGAAAGAAAAGTTCATTTTTTCTTACATTCGATTTTTTCGACCATCGAGATATTTCAATACATTTTCATGTGCTTTGCATGCACTGTCTTTTTTAAGAAAGGAGATTGCTTTATTTTTATTATTTTTGCGTTAATTTATGGTAAATGAGTAGAATAGCGAGATTCCTTGTACCAAACAAAATCATTTCTCCAAAATTTTAACCCGAAATCATTTTTTATTTCAAAGAAAGTTTAAAACCACAAAAAAAACGTCCTTTGCCCACATACCCTTAAATGAAAATTTCAGGAAATAAAAATTCGAACAAACAAAAATTCTGTGAAGTGAATTTTTGATTATATAAAAATTCTGTAATATAGAAAATCGTTTTGATGAAAATTCTGTAAAATACTAATTTGAACAAATAACAATTCGGGTCAAATCTAATTATGATAAATGAAATTCCATAAAATAAAAATTCTAACTAATTATTTTTAGAATATAAACATGCATCCCATAATTTTGTGTTTCAGCATCCTATAGTACAAGTTACGCTTGCTGGAAGTGATATTATGGAATCTGCACTACTTGGTTTGGAGGAATATTCCAAGAATGTAAACAAGCCCTATAAACCAGTTCTAATCAGCATTAATCGCGCTTATCACTATGGCGAAGACGACACAAATAGGTAACTTTCTTTGTATTTTATTAAAATAGAAGAAGAATCCGTTGATAAATTTGCTTTTTGTTAAAACCTCCTTTTGTACAATAAAAACTATAGAATGTACAATTAGAAAAAAAAGTTTGAGACTTTTTCATTTAACACTGAGAAAAAGTGAGGTTCAAATTCAGAGGTTCAAAAAGTGTATAATTCCCATTTATTATTAAAGAGAGTTTAATAGTCCCTTTAGAATGATTTTTGAATAGATAAAAGAAATCGGCATGTATATAGTCTGTTTTATTATATTTAGAGGGTTAAATGCTGCGCAGAAATTTATGCGCGACCATATTTGTTTCTCAATCGAATAGACTGAATTTTGGGGTTAGGTTGTCATATTTATTCGTTTCGCGTACCACCGCGTACGATAAGAAAGGTATTTCTCAAGATTGATAATTTGTCCCTCTGCCATAAACTCATTTTTCCTCTAGGAGAAATGGCTGAAATATCTGGGAATGGTGTATTTCATTATTTAGATTATTATCCAATAGCTAACTCTCAAATATAAACTCTTTATCCCTCCAAATGTTCACTTCAAACCTCCAGTTTTCTCAGTGTATAATATCATTATACAAAAGAAAGATTTTAACAAAAAGAAAAAATCTTTGATTGCACATGCACACAAAAAAAGTGTTTTGACCGAGACACTACACTAGTGTATTCACTGGCTCTTGTTTTTGAGTTATACTCAAAAAACGACTCAAAAAAACTAATTAAAATAAAAAAAAAATTTTTTCACTACAATAGTATATTTCCATGCTAAGGGTACAGGGAAGAAAGAGAATAGTGATTTTTAATGACAATATTACAAAATTAATTTAGACAAACATTTAGAGTTATAAAATTGATCTTTGAGAGAGAGTATCCTGAAGCAACCATTCTTGAAATAAGGAAATCAGCATTCCACTGCAACAAGGAATGTAAAGGTTACTACAAATTTAATAAGGAGTTAGAAAGGATTTAGATAAAAAGTATTACAACTTACCTTGAAAATTAAGATGTAAGATGCGTGAAAAAAGGACCACTGCTGAGTCCTAATTATGATAGGAACGTCTGGTACCAGATATAGTTAAGAGCTCACAGGAAGGTTGACGGGCCTTGGTGATGACCACAGGTCCGGAGTTCAGTTGACCGTAATGAAACTTGGATGAGCTTTTCTTGACGTAGAAACTTTTAACACTTGACACAGAGATTCTTCTGAGTCGAACTTGAGTATGAAATCGAGCATAGTAACAATGTTTGTACCAGATTTCGTATGTGACGAAGACGTGCTGATACCAAAATATGAACTGAACTAGCAGGTTCGGTGGCGATTTCTGAACTGAACTAGCAGCTACGGTGGCAATTTCTGAACTGGTTTCTCCGTAAAAATGTAGTCCTTTTATACTGAATTTTCGTAAGAGAATAGATAAAATTTTATTGTCGTGCTATATATTTTTCACCCTAATATTGGAAGCCAAAGTTGAGTCCTTCTCTCTCAGTTGAACGTTAAAGGAGAGGTTTGTACCGTTCTAATACAGAATAGAAAGAGTACGACTACGGTTATTCGCAAATGTAGAAGAGCGTCTGTGCTCTTCTAGTGTAGCGATACTACAGGGGTTTGTCTGATTTTAGTACATGAGTATTATAGGGAGAATTAGAAAGAGTGCAATTCTATTTCTCGTTTATGTCCTTTTAGGGTAATAAAAGGTTTCTCGCTTCTATTTGTATATTTTTAGAAATACAGTATATAAACGTAGGAGGATACAAAACGCAGGGGTCTTTTATACATGAAAGAAAAGATGTTTAGTCGCGCAACAATAGGGCGGGAGTTTCACATTTAAGAGAAAAGTGTTTAGATGCGTAACAAAAGCACGGGTGTTTGTCGCAGAAAAACGCAACTCGGTCGTTTTTTGAGTATAACTCAAAAACAAGAGCCAATTTTACTATTCTGACTTTGGATTTAGATTCAGCAGCGAAAAATACATGGGAATACACTAGTGTATAGTGTCTCGGCTAAAACACTTTTTTTGTGTGCCTGTGTTATAATGTTTTGTGACGTCAAAGGATAATTAAATAATAAGACATTAAAATTTTCAGTAACTAAAATGTAAAATGCATAAATTACCATAGCATTTTATATTATGAAATTATCAAACAATGGTTTCAATAAAAAACAAATGTCTCTCATATATTGTTCGTATTTATCTTTAAAATATTTCCTGAAAAATATGAAAAGCATATTGTTACATTACTATATAAATTTCATAATGACTGTAAAAAAAGATTATCAAAACATGTGAAACTAAAATACTTCTTTTTACAGTGCACATTTTAAAATACATGTTAGTTTTGGAGAAAGATTGAAAGAAGGAATTAATCCCAGATATAAGAAATTGAAAGCTCACAGCGGGGAATTCGAAAATTGTATCGTCGAAGTCCTGTACAAACAGAAATGTTCAGGTCCTCCAGAACTTAAGAAAGTTACTTGCCCTTTATTGTAATATTACATTAAGGTATTTTCATTTTACAATGCTTTTTCAACACATATTATCTTTAGAATCAATTTAAACTGTAATTTTTGTAAAAATGACTTTTCATTATGAAACGAATTCAAGTAAACATTATTATAATTATAAATATGTGATTTTTGAATAAAAATTTAGTTTATAATATCGAAATATCTTGATAATTATTGATATACATGACCAAAAAGTAAAAAAAATTAGTTATTGTATTTTGTTGAACCGGCATTGAATGAGAAATATAATTTTATTTTATTTATTTAAGTTATACACGGATTTACAAAATTATACCCTTTATAATATATATTTTGTATTTTGAAAAAAAAATAAACGTTGCTGCAAAATGCTTTTTAGAGTTAAAATTATTATTTTTTCAAAAAAATAATAAGATGATGAATTGTAAAAATATAATTAATAAAATAAAAATAATATTCTCTAATTTATTCATTGAAAAAAATTTGCTTCACATTATTTTATTGTATTATAAATAATACAATATAATAAAGAATCCTTGCCCACACAGCACAACATCTTACACCAGGCCTACAGCAGGCTTACATGTAAGGTTTGTAAGGTAACATCGTAAGCCCATAGTAGACTTACAGTAAACCTAAAATGTCCGCCTTACAGTAAGCTTACATGGTAGGGTCGAGGTAAGCTTACACGGTAAGGTCGAGGTAAGCTTACACGGTAAGGTCGAGGTAAGCTTACATGGTAGGGTCGAGGTAAGCTTACATGGTAGGGTCGAGGTAAGCTTACATGGTAGGGTCGAGGTAAGCTTACACGGTAAGGTCGAGGTAAGCTTATGAGTAAAGGCTGTGGTAAGGTTATTATTAAGTTGTAAGGTTGAGGTAAGGTTGTGGTAAGCTTACAAGGTAAGGCAAGTTATATTCAAATAATAATATTAATAATAAATAAATATTCAATAAAAAAATTTTTCTTTTGCCTTATTCTATTTTGGGAACCTATCATTTCGCAGAAAGTTTTGAAAACAAATTTGGGAGGAGTAGGATTCGAACCCGGGACCGAAGTATATACCTAACAACCTAACCAACTGAGCTAAACGGGGAACTGACAATGAGAAAAGTAATCTTGCTTTTAAGGGGTTAGGGGTAGTCAGAGGCACGAAAAAATGAGAATTTTCAGTATTTTTTTTTGCTATTAAATAATTTTATTTTACAAAAGTAGTAATATGGTATTATTAAACAATGTTTTGACTTGAAGTCACGAAAATTTAAAAAAAAAAAAATTTTTATTTCCGAAGTTACAGCTGTTTGTGTTAACCCAGTTCCAAAAAAAGGTCCTTGCGGTGACAATCATAAGTCCTTGGAGATTAATCAGAAATCAATCGGATAAAAAAAATTAGTTTTATAAATAAATAATCCTGGGCCTGATCGAAGGATTTTTTTTTTTTCAAAAATTAACAAAATGGCGGCCTCAGGAAATTTTTGTCTAGATTTTTGGGAAAAAATCAACATTTAATTGGTCTTAAAAAATCGAAATTTTTCAAAAAAAAAAAATCCTTCGATCAGGCCCGAGTTTATTATGTATTCTAAAAGCTGTATAAATTTCATTAAAATCGACTGAGCGGTTTTCGAGTTATAGTTGTCACCAGTTCAAAAAACATAGTTTTGAGAAAAACGCGTTTAGTTTCACACTAGATTTACGTACAAAAAAACGAATTATTAAATTACTTACACCGAGTCATCTATTCCTGGGCCATATTAATTTAGGTACTACTACATATACCCAAGTCTAAGTTCATCGATGACAATAGAACCCTAAAAGCCGATTTCTTGCAGCTGACACTAGCTGCAAGCGCTCGCGAGCGCTTTAAAAGGCCCGAGCTCTCTTTGTTATTTGTCGAATAACTTAAAAACGAATTATCGGATTAACTTGAAATTTTCAGAGATTATTTTTAAGATATTTTACTTAACGAAAATGCAAAAAAAAAAAATTTGATTTTTTGAAAATTCTGACTACCCCTAACCCCTTAAGGAGTTGATTATCTTCTTGGTTCCACTTTAAAAGTAAGATTACTTTTCTCATTGTCAGTTCCCCGTTTAGCTCAGTTGGTTAGGTTGTTAGGTATATACTTCGGTCCCGGGTTCGAATCCTACTCCTCCCAAATTTGTTTTCAAAACTTTCTGCGAAATGATAGGTTCCCAAAATAGAATAAGGCAAAAGAAAAATTTTTTTATTGAATATTTATTTATTATTAATATTATTATTTGAATATAACTTGCCTTACTTTGTAAGCTTACCACAACCTTACCTCAACCTTACAACTTAATAATAACCTTACCACAGCCTTTACTCATAAGCTTACCTCGACCTTACCGTGTAAGCTTACCTCGACCCTACCATGTAAGCTTACCTCGACCCTACCATGTAAGCTTACCTCGACCCTACCATGTAAGCTTACCTCGACCTTACCGTGTAAGCTTACCTCGACCTTACCGTGTAAGCTTACCTCGACCCTACCATGTAAGCTTACCTCGACCCTACCATGTAAGCTTACTGTAAGGCGGACATTTTAGGTTTACTGTAAGTCTACTATGGGCTTACGATGTTACCTTACAAACCTTACATGTAAGCCTGCTGTAGGCCTAGTGTAAGATGTTGTGCTGTGTGGGTGTTAATCCTAAAAAGTCACATTTTATTCTGCAAAATAAATACTTTTTTTGCAAGTCCTGCTGTTGTGGTAATTTTTCCCTTAAAGAATAATACATCACAACCTTAAATTTTTTAAGTCATAATAATATTAAAACTTAAAATAACTCATTAATTTTTCTAATTAATTTTTCGTTTTTATTTTCCACAATTTTTTTTAACTTTAACATCATAAGCTACATCAGATTAAATTTTTGTGCAAAAATATTCAATACCGGCTGTACAATACACGTTTGAATAGGTCGGGTCCAGCAAACCCTTTGTGCCATTTACGTTCGAACGAGGAATTGTGCCAGTTAAGGGTTGATGAAATGAAATATTCTTTGGTATTTACATATATAACTATTAGATTTTGCTTAATAATAAAATTGAACATGAGAATCAAAAATTAATATTTTACTCAAATCAGTTTTAAACAAGAATATTAAAATCGTTAAATCAACTATCAATTATCACAAATAAATTCATTAAAATTAATTTAATCAATATAACAATTTATTTCGATCAATAGAAATCAAGTTAAAATTCGTTTAGACAATATTCAAAGTAAATTACAGAAAGTCACATGACGTCATATGCTATTCAGTTTCTCACACACATACATAAATTCATACAATGAAATCGATTTCATTAAAAAGGCCTATTAAAAAGATTGCAATATACAAATACATAAAATTTAGTCGAGAATTGATATCAATAACACAGGCACACAAAAAAAAAGTCAGGTCCCAAAAAACACAACACCACCATATGACAAATAACATTCATTCGCCCTTCCAGATTCGATTTGATTAAAGATAACCATAGCAAATTCAACATGATGCTGCAAATCAGCCAGATTTTTCAATGAATTTTCCAAATCAGAATCATAAGTGATTTGATTCACACAAAACTCATCATCATCAAAATCATGACCTACATTTAAAACATCAATGTTTAATTCATTTTGCATACACGGAGAGAAGAGTTACAGTGATGGCTACTGAACGCGTTTAGTAGGCAAAAATATGGTCAGAACAACTTTAATTGCAGTCGCTATAACTAAACGGCGTTCAGTTCGTTATAGTTCGTATTACTAAACAGTTCTTTTGGCAGCACTACCGTTTCAGTGAATGCAACTGTTCCGTTCCCCCACTTTACCAGTTTATCAAAATGGCTGAAATTTATTTGCTATAGATCCTTTAGATGGTTTGACAAGTAAATTTAAGTTTAAAAGTTCCAGTTACGTGGAAAAATTCAAAGGTAAGTTTGTTTTATTTTATTAATAAATTCAATGCAATATATTGCATTAAAATGATCGCTCGAGCAAAGAAAGCTTACGTCTTGTGTAGGGTTATGTTTATCTGTACACGTGAATGAGACCGGCTTTGGACAATACTTTTTTATCAGAGGAAATATATTTTCCCTTTTATAATAAATTATTTCTTAAGATGAAGTTTATTCTTTAAACAATGTCAATTACTACTTTTATAATCTATTATATTTATAAAAATATTTTTTGCAATATCTTTAACTTACGAAATCTAACAAAAATATTTATTTTATAAAATGAGCAGATGGATAGCCAAAGTAGTTTGTATCCATTATATTTCGACTAAAGTTGTTGCTGACTAATTTTTAAAAATTATAATACTTTGTAGGAATGATTTTGAAGTTATTAGGATCACGAAATGAAAAGAATTTTATTAAAATTTTAATTATTTATTGCAAAATATGAATTTAAAGTATACGAGGTGCTAAAAACTGATAAATTTTTAGTCATTAGAAAATATGCAAAAAAAACATAGAATTTACCATAAAAATAAAAAAAAAATTGGTATACTTTCGACTATTGGGATGCAAAGGTATCTGCCAGTATCCAATTGCAAGATCAGTAGTCGAAATATATGTAACATCATAAAATTTTTGTAGCAGTTCATTGATCAAAGGCGGCGACTCATGATCGGCTTCAATTATTTCATTAATGAAGCGAGCTTCGAGATACACTCGAACGGTACCGCCATCCTTTACGACTATTCTAAGGGGACTGCAATAGGAACTATCCGCCCTTTCAATAATATTAAGGTCAAGCATTTTTTGCATTTGTTTATCCACGAATTCGCGATTTTCCCACAGAACCGGATAATGTTTTCGAATATACGTTTGATGCGGTTTTATTTTTAATTCATACTCAAATGTATCAGCGCTATCATATTTCGGAGTAAATAATTTTTCGAACCTTGCCATTCTCTCGATAAAAACATTCTTTTCTTCCTCGCTTAAAGGGGAAACTGAATCGATAATTGATCGTAAGCCTTCGATAAAACTACTCAAATCTTGAGTTTCATTATTATTTTGACCCACAGGACCAAAGTCATCAGAAGAATTGTCATCGGATTGAAAATAATCAACACCCTCACAAAAAACTTTATTTCTGTCTTCACAAACAATACTCATCATTTCAATTTTCTTTTCATTTGGTTCGCCTTGAGAAATATGCGACT